TGGAATTTACTGATCAGTTTAGGTTCTTTACGACACTGGCAGGACTTCAGAGAGATTTTTTCAGCATTACTATATTGTCTCCAGCCACATATGATAAAACTCTGCTGAAGTGTTGCTGAAAAGCATGGTGCTGGTAACAGTTCAACAATCCATGACTGCTCATTCTTGCCGACTCCCCCACCTCTGAAACAGGCTGGCACTGAAGATGGTGTGGAAACCTGCATGCATGTTGAACTCTGCTCTTCCTCCCTTGCTCCTCGGCCTCCTTCCCAACTCCTTCTTTGTTTGATCAACCTCTTTTGTTCAGTAAATTTCCTCTGCTTGTCTTCAAAGTACAGAATTAAAGGTATGTTTCATTGGGCTAAAACAAGGCCCTAGGAAAAATGTTCATGTTTTTTTAACCCAAAGCCATAACCTTTGCTATGACACCAACGTATAAATATGTTCCAGCTGTTTTACAGACACCTGCATGTTCCTATGAAAACTAGTATCAGTCTCTAGAGCCTCTCTTCAATCCCACTCATCTTCAAGCCCGTATTTTACAGGTCCACACCTCCTGACATATATGTGCCAAAGCCAACCCACAGGAGACCCTCCAGATACACCAGCCCTTGCAACAGTTCCAAAGACACCAAACCGGTGAGGAAGGCTGACTTTACCCACATGCCCATGCATAAAAAGCTCCTTTATCTCCTAACTCTTGTTAGGGGTGGAAGATGTTGTGGATGGAGACACTTCCCACCTCCAGGGAAACAGCAGATGTAATGGCTCAGGTACTCCTGGAACACAACATTCCCTCAATTTGGCATGCCATACCCCCAACCTCCTGGGTCATCAGTGCTGGTATCACCTATCCAGGCTCAAGTGGCCACATATCCAGGATAAATGGTCTGTCCAACAACTGGGACTGTCCACCAGTTTTTCAAAATGTCCCAATGAAGGGCATATCTGCTGCTGTGTCTTGCTCATTTCCCCTGTGTCATTCACCATTGCCTCTTCCATACAACCAGAGCACATCTCTGTCCTATTTTTTTTCAGGCAGTCTTCATTCTTCCCATGGCTAGTCTCATTCATAGGGCTGGTGTTAATAATCTATTTTTTCCTAGCAACTCACCTACTCTGGTTTCCTCAAGAAACAGATTTCTGAGGTTATGTCAGCTCTGGATGCTTCTTCACCCATACTTCCTGCTGAGCATGAACCCACTGACTCCTGACTCCCCCTCTCCAAGCTGTCCCATGCCAACAGGAAGTAACCAGACTTGAATCAGCACCCATATATCCAAGAAAGTTGGGATATTTGACTGGACCAGCTCACCCTAGCTGAGAAAGCCCCATTCCTGCCTCCCCAAAACCCACCCTCTCAGAGAAACTGCCAAAAGTCGAGTTCCACCCAATTTGTGGAGGACTCATCATTGTTCTGCATATACAACTCACCCCACTCCTCCCTCTCCAAATCCTGCCCTCTTGGAGAAACCATTAAATGCCCAGTTCCAAGGTGGTAGCTGACGGAAACTGATGATGGTAGTTTCTGTTCCACCTGGTCCCACAGCCGTTTAGTTCCAAATAAACACACAGAAGCTTCTATTAATTATAAACTGTTTGGCCAATGGCTCAGGCTTTTTATTCAATAACTCTCTCTTAATTATTAACCCTTATCTATTGGGCTTACCAGTGATGCCCAGTCCCCTTTCTTCCTCAGAAGCTACGTGGCATCTCTCTAGTGGCAAGATTCTTTCTTTCTCTGACCTTCAGACAGGCTTTATTTGTACAAGCAAGATACTACCGCACGCCGGGCGTGGTGGCACATGCCTTTAATTCCAGCACGAGGGAGGCAGAGTCAGGCGGATCTCTGTGAGTTCGAGGCCGGGCTGGACCGACAGCCTCCAAAACAATACAGAGAAACCCTGTCTCGTAAAAACCAAAAAAAAAAAAAAAAAAAAAAGATACCACCACACAAGACCCTGCTCAAAAGTTTACTATAGCGCAAACCCACCTTGGGGCATGTCATTACCTGACACCACTACAGGTACTTAAGCCACCCCCTTTAGAATGGCCATGTGCTCCCTTTTCCAAGAGTCACCTGGGAGTGCTTTGCTTAGATTAAACCTGGTCCTTTACCTGTTAATTCAGCTTCATTTGGCTTACTGCATCAGTAGAGAAACCAACTCTCAGGTTTCCTTCCAAAGCTGCTAACACTTGTAGGTACAGCATGACTTCCTGACAGGTCAGGATATCTTTCCTAACACATTCATTAACTCTAACCAAGCAAGTGAAAGGCCTATGTGTCAAGAACTTCAAGTCTTTGAAGAAACAATATCAGAAGACAGAAAGATCTCCCAGGCTCGTGGATAAGTAGGATTAACATAGTAAAAATGGCCATCTTACCGAAAGCACTCTTGGAACTCCCTGTCTCCTGTTGGGCTGCCTTTTCCAACTTTGATGTGCTAGGTTTTGGTTTATATTATTATATTTTTTGCTATGTTTGGTTGCTACCTCTTAGAAGCATGATCTGGGGGTCAGAGGATGTGGGTAAGTAGGAGGAGTAGAGGGAAGGGAAACTATTAACAAGATATATTGTATGAAAAAATCAAATTTCAATAAAAGAAAATTAATTCCACAGTTAGGTAAATAACCATTTTGGAAAAAGTAGTGAGTGATTAATCTAGATACCTAGTTCCATTATATATTTGTGTTTTAAAGGTTTCAGCTATAACTAGAACAAGCTAGCACTTTAGGTGGCTTGTGGAAATTTACAAAGCTCAACTTGGACTTGTATTTGTCATGACTTGTATGTTCTACCTTCTTCACTGTGTTCATCTTAAGATGGCCTTTGTTGAACACATTCATTTCCCCCTTCTAGCTATTTATAGAGCTTCAGAAGATTTCCAGTTGATTTTAATGTTTTGTAATTCTTAGATCTATACTAGAAACTGATTGGATTATGAAACAGTGGCATCAAAAATCTCCTTTTCAGTATGTAGCTGGATAATTTTATAACTGGAAAGTTCAGGATTCACTGTCTTAATGTTAGGAATACTTTATATATTGCTAAATCTTAATTTATTTTATAACCTGTATATAATAAATGATGTGTATAACAAGTTTAAGTGTCTTGGTTTCTAATTCAAAGCGCAGAACAGAATCCCAAGTCTGAAGTACATAACAAGTAAGTAAATCAAAAATCACTAAAGGAGAATTAATAAATATTTCTTCAGTACCATTGAAAATGTCTCAGGCTGGTTAGAAATTTTTAGGAAACACACTGAATAATAGTGTGATTTTTCTGTGGAATTAAATAAGTAATAAATAATAAATTCTCATTCAAGGGATTGAACATATCACCAGAGACACATCTTGAGTAAAAATGCAGGGTTGTTTTCTTTTTATGAGACTCCTTAGTAAACATTTTATATTTCTGAAAAAAAATCACAAGTTTCTTTGTAAGGATAACAGTCCAAAGTTGGAAAGTAACAGTTCTCATCCACTCAACCTACTCAAAACAGAAATCCTCACAAGATTAAATTCAATAATCAGTGACTAGCTGAGATCCTGGGGTGTGTCAAACAGTGAAATAGGCACTGAGAGGATGCTTATTAGCCCAGCCTGATTTTTACCTTTTATACACATGACACATGCTGACATTTTCTAGTTTATGTCATCAATCAATCAAACAAACAAATACCAAAAACCAGTAGTCTCCCTTACATGGATAAACTGCTCCTAGAACCCATATGTTATTGAATGGGAGTCCTAGTGCCAGGAATGAGCAACATTCCTTTGAGTTGTTGGCCAGAAAGGCCTCTGAGTCCTGCAAAGCAACACAGGAAATGGCCATCGCTATTGGCTGTCTTTAACAAACACATAGAATGCCTCTGGAGTTAAAGATATAACATGTGTTGGTCACAAGACATAGAGAAATCATGCCAGATGAGCTGAAAGTTTCCTTTCTGCTGGCTACCTTTCATAGTACTGGAAGATGGAAACAGAATTGTGAACTATCACAGTCAACTGTGCCTGCAACATCACTGGTGTAACAGTGACAAGTCTGTTATGGAGATAATGTAATTGCTTTCTGGTTGCTCTTGAGGTACACTCCATAAAAGGGAGCCCACATCTGGTAATGTATAACTAGACAAAATTCCATGATTGAGTAGATCATAGGTCCAGGTAAGGAAACTACTGCTCTTGTTCTGTTAAATGGTCATATTGAGTACAATGAATTTTTTTCTAAGGAACTATGCTTATGTTACTGCTGATGCCAGTTTAGGTTAAAGAACCTTCTTTTTTGCAATGGACAGTGGTTATTGCAGAGACACTATCAGAACAAAACTGAGAATAAATGACTGTTAAAGGCTCAGCCATAAAAGGGACATCATCTGCTCCAAGACATAGGGAACATCACAAAAGAAGAATGTTAATCCCAGTTCCTTGGGGTGGGGGGAGAAAAACCTCTAAATTATTGGTAAGAATTTTGTATAGACCCAGCTGAAGTACTCTTTGGGGATAAATTTATTGTTTATTTTCTAAGCAAGAAGAACAGGATAGGTACTTAGGGGTAGGGGAGGGTTCGCTGCTTTTACCATCTCGGGTTAAATGCAGCCACTAATGCCTACTGTGGTTCGACGAGAGGGAAGAGGATCTACTGAGCAAACACATGTGATTTACCTTGAAAGTCAGGTGTGGTAAGCACTTGACAGGCTGAGGAGTCTAAGATACAGAGCAAGCTCCAGACCCGCTGCAGCCACAGTGAGACCCCTGTCCTGTCTCTAAACCAACAAAATCGGCCCAATCATTCTTTAAAGTAACGTTTTTACAACATTGTTATGTAATGAAGAGGAAAATGCTGCTATCACCGCAGCCAACGTCTCTGGACCTTTTCTATCTCCGGTCTCTGAAGTCAAGCGCCAACTGTGCCCGCGCATGCTCACAAGCGGCTCAGGGTTCCTAGGGTTGGGCCGAACTCGGAGGGCGGAGTGCAGGCCACGTGTTGTGTGACGTCATCTCCAGGCGCCGAGGGTCACTGGCCTGGCGGTGGGCTGCAGGCGCTGCGGGTCGGGTTCTCTTTGCTTCGGAGGGCGGAAGTGCGCGCAGGGCTGGGCTCTGACCCCGGTGGCCGCGCTCTGCGGCTGCGCGGGCCCTGGGACTTCTGCTCCTGCGCCTCTGCAGAGCGCTGTGAGTCAGGCAGGCAGAGCGCGGCTGAGCGTCTTCCCCCTGTGGAAGCCGGAGCAGAGCGGGCACTTCAGGTAGGGCTCCTGTGTGTCTGGGGCGCGGAAGTGAGTGGCGGAGGGTGGTGGCCAGGGCTGCGGGCAAGCGGCAGGCAGAAGGAGCGCTCCCGGGGCGATGGCGGGGGAGGCGGTGACGATGGGCGGCGGTGGGGTTGACTAGGCACTGCCCCAGAGCCCTTGGATCAATCAGCCTTGCCTTTCTCTTTGAAGAATGTCAGTTCCTTGCTGAGATAGGAAGTATAATATCGATTCTGAAGCTCAAGTTAAGAACTTGCATTTTGCACGAGAGGTATTTAAATCGTAATTATTTCGATTATATCCAAACGTAGTATTTACTCTAGGCTATTTATCTTCGATGCCAGACTTTCAGTCTTAATTTAATAATAGTACTTAATACTAACAAAGGAATTGCTGTTAGTAAGACACTATCACTTATTTAGTTACTTTCTTTGACTTGCTCTCAAAGCATACTCAAACTTGAGGAATCTATGAAGTCTTGTAGATTTTTTTCCCCAAAGCAAATAGCATTTTCCTGTGGAAGCATAGCATGTCTTCACTAATCAGAACCCCGGGATTTGTCACACAACAGTTAACTATCCAAAGCCATATAAAAACTCACCTGATAAGTCTCTTGGGTCCTTGATACTGAATACTTTGGTCTGATGGGAATATTCTGACTTCATTAGACTTATTGTTTGAATTGAATTTGAGAACCGGGATGTTGGCCTTATGGTAGTAGTTGTGAGAATGTTACACTAAGTTTAAATGTACTTTGAGCCCACACCTTTAATCCCAGCACCGGGGAGGTGGAGGCAGGAGAATCAGGAGTTTAAGACCAGTTGTGGCTATTCAGTGAGTTTGCTGCCACCCTGGAGAGCTTGCAACTGTCAAATGCAAAGTCCCAATCAAGGTCATGCTCAAGGCCCTGCAGTGTATCCTGAGCAGCACAAAGCCAAACTAACTGGAAAACAGAACCTACTGTGGTGGCCCAAGCCTGTTATCATTATGCTTGGGAAGCTGAGGTAGGAAGATTGCCTTGAATTGGAGGCCAGCCTGGGCTACAGAGGGAGATCCTGTCTCAAATAAGAAAACACACACACACACACACACACACACACACACACACACACACAGTGCTCCTCTTTAATCCCAGTACTCAGAGGGCTAATCTGGTCTACATAGTGAGTTCCAGACCAGCCAGGGTGGCACAATGAGCTCCTGTCTCAGGGCACAAAAAGTATATGCCAGGTAATGGAAAGTTCCAGGGAAAGAAAAATCCAGTGAAATGGAATTGATAGGTAGGGTTGATGGTGTGCACACGAGATCTTAATGGTGGGTAGAGAAAGATAATTAAGTGAAGCTAAAAGTACTGAAGGTGCCACAGGGAAAGGCCATTGGGGCATAGTAGCTAGTTCCAGTGGAAAGGAGCAGGCAGAGCAAAAGAGGAGTACTCAAAGAGCTGAGGCAAGGTCCTTATGGGGCTTTGTAAAAGCTTTAGTGGTTGGTTTGGTTTTTTTAATGTGTTTGGGTGTTTTGCCTGCATGAATGTCTACCCACCATATTTATGCATAGTGTTCATTAAGGAATCCTATATGACTAGAATTACCAAAGGTTGTGAGCCACCATGTGGGACTAGAACCCAAACCCGGGTCTTCTGCAAGAGCAGCAGCGCTCTTAACCAGTGAACCATCTCTCCAAACCCACCCCCCTTCTCTTTTCCTTCCTTCCTTCCTTCCTTCCTTCCTTCCTTCCTTCCTTCCTTCCTTCCTTCCTTCCCTCCTTCCCTCCTTCCTGTCTTATCTGTAGCTCTGACTGGACTGGAAATCTCATTGTAGATCATACTTGACTTGAACTCACAGATATGCAACCTGCCACTGCCTTCTGTGGGCTGGGATTAAACATTCTAATTCCCTCCCTATACAGGGTTTCGATGTGTAACCCTGGCTATTCAGGGACTTGCTCTGTAGATCAGGCTAGACTTGAACTCAGAGATCCACTTCTGCCTCCCAAACTCTGGGATTAAAGGTGTTTGCCAACATCACCTTTGATTTTTTTTGTTTTGTTTTGTTTTTACTTTTAATGAAGTAAGCTTGAGTTTGGGGCAAATTGATCCAAGTTGAGTTTGGAAAAGATCTGCTTACCATGTTGACTGCAGAAATAAAGGCAGTGTAGTTTGGGTTTGATGTGGTTGGGAATGATTAGATTACAGATTTGCTTCTAAACTGGAGCAGGTAGAATGGTGAGGGATGATTGTAAGGTGTATGGGCAGAGCTACTTACTGTAACGGAGGAGACTGTTGCTGAGAATGAAGGCGTGAGGTCATTTTTAGTTGTGCAAATGTTAATGCCATTGTGTGGTAAAATACTTATGAAACAAGTTCAGAAGTCTGAGATGAAAATAGAAATGGAAATTGTAAGAAATACACCCGGTATTTAAAGTCCTTTGGAAGATGCATTTTCCTTTAGGAGGGAGAGGCACAGACAAGAGATACAGAGAGAAGATAAGGTAACACCCCAGAGTGGGCCAGCTCAGCAAATCTGCTTAGAATGACTGAACTCCAGAGTTTACACTAGCAACCGTGGTCATGAGCTGAGGAAGCGGAAGGAGTCTGGGAACTTTGATGGGGAAGACGTGGTTGAGTGATATAGGAAAATGGGGACCGGGAAGATACAGGCGAATTATACAGGAAAGCGGATTGGAGGAATTTAGGAGCACTAGCCATTACCTAAGACTCATGTTTGAAGCCATTTGTAAATTTCAGGAGAGACTAGACACTGTTCTTATTGTCTTTCTTTCCGTCCTTGGTAATGAAAACCAAGTCCTTTTATAGCCTCCTCAAGTATGTGCCCTTGTGGCGTACTCACCAGAGAAGACTGCTTGGAAATGAGTTCAAGCCAAAAGAAAGTCCCCATTAGCCAGCCGTGACTACACTGGGTGTTTGTGATCTCCCAAATCCCTGAGCCTTTTTCGGGTGAGCTTTTAAGCACAAAAAACTTGCCCTTGGTTGACACACTGAACATTGAAATACCTCCTAGTATGAGGCTCTGACGTAACTACTGGAGTTTGCTTTAGGGGAATGCTTCCCAAAGAGCATATATTAAGCTAACTCTTACAAGGATTAGAAATTGTCCTAGGATTCTTAGCCCAAAGAGGGTATGTTCAGCAGGGTGTCCATAGGAGCGTGAAAAAAGTACATATTAGGTAGACTGGTTGCAGAGTTGATAAACATGTTAAACTAAACACTTGTGTTGCCATCTGTGCCCTGTGAGTACTGAAGTTGCTTTCATTTTACAGATGGAAGATTCAGAGAGGAGGGGGTTTGTTTAGCCAAACAACTAATTGGTGGAAGTCAGAGTTTAAAATCATGTCTGTGCAAGCCTTGGGCTGAATCAATCAACAACAAAAAAGAGAATAAAGCACCCAAAGACAGTGTCTAGATTAGTTTATATTTTGACTGAACTCTAATGACTCTGGGACCCATAGTTAGTTCAAAACCTGTGATGGTTAACATAGATCAACTTGAAGGATCCAGAATCACCCAGGAAACCAATCTCTGGGCATACCTGCTTCTAAATTAGATTAATTTGGTGGGATACCCTCTGAATTTGAGTTCCATTCCATGGGCTGGGGTCCTGGACTGAATAAAAGGAAGACATGGGCCGAAAAAAGGAAGAAAAAAATCGTGTCTGTGATCTGAATCCCTTACCTGCTGGTATTTGAATGCTATTCAAACACTCCCTGCCCTTATCTTTTATTCCTTGGTCATTTTTTTTCCTATGGTTATTCTTCCTTGGGGAAGTATTTGTCTCCTACCAGCCCACTACAAATATTCTAGGTCTAACACTGCTTTGGTTGCTAAATTGCCTCCCAGTTAAACTCTTAACCTCCAGGTGTGCTCTCCATGCCCAGCTCTGAGATTCTTATTCCATTTCACCCTTCTCAAACTGCACAGGTTCTGTAGGGCTGCTGGATGGAATTGATACCCTCACTGCTTTTTATGGGGCGTGTTTCATGAGCTTGCACAGATTGACAGTAAAGGACTTGCTTGCATTTCCTAGTATTTCCCACATGTCTGTTACTGTATCAGATACCTTGGCTTTACCCTCTGGAACAACATTGTGACACCAGTGTTAATTTCATTCCATAGGAAAAGGAGATTGGGGCTCTTGAAGCACCTAGGATAGGAACATATATGGTTCTGAAACCCTTCCAGCATTAACTCTCACAGAGTATTCCCAGGCAGAAGTTTACTAAAATATTGGCACCTGTTGTTTCTGTAAACTCACTTATATTGTTGTGTTTTTCTTCTATTTGGAATATATACAGTCCCTAATGTCACTTATCAGAGGCAGCTTTAGGTTTGTGATAATTTTGTGATGAGCAGAAGCAAGGCACAATTAGCAGCTACCTGAGTGTTTTTTTTGTTTTTTTGAAATAGGCTCTTGCCATGTAACCCAGGCTGGTCTCATGCTCTTGTTTGTAGGGTACCTTTAGCTTCATCCTGCTGCTGTGATAAAACACCGTGACCAAAGCAACTTAAGGAGGAAAGGGTTATTTCAGCCATGTGTCCTGAAATCATCTTCTGTCTTGAAGGGAAGTCAGGGCAGGACCCCAGCCGGAGTCAGGAACTGAAGCAGAGGCCTTGGAGGAGTGCTGTTTCCTGGCTTACTCCTTTGCTTGTTCAGCCTGCTTTCTGAGATCACTCAGATACATCTGCTCAGGAGTGGCACTGCCTGCCCTAAGCAGAATGGGCCTTCTACTTCAGTTATTAATCTAGAAAATGTCCTATCGGCTTGCCTATAGGCCAGTCTTATGGAGACATTCTCGAAAATAAGATTCCTCCTTCCTAGATATGTCTAGGTTTGTGTCAGGTTGACAAAAACCAACCAGCATAATAACCTGAGTTGACCTCAACTGATCTTTGTGCTTCAGCAGAAGTGTCTGCTAAAGGTGAGGTGTATAGATGAACACCTTTAGTACAAGCTTGTCAGTTCTGTAGTAGAGAGGAAATAAAGGTG